TCTGGGAGGAGCTGGACCCAATCCACGATATCCGCCTTCCTACTTCATGTTTCTACCTACTTCTTCCGACCGACGTGTACGCGTTCGGAGGGGGGTCTTCAGCACGAGTCTCGGCACGCGTGCCATCGGCATGTGTTTTTTACGTCTTTCTGGCCACGGCGGGGCTCTCAGCGATGGACCCACGTCAGCCCGCTGGCGTCTTCACAGCTACAGATGTGTGCGCGGAGCAGGGGGCCCAACATGCGCCTGGCGCGTGCGCGCGGGGTACGTATTTTCACGTGCTCGCGGCCCCTGGCGTGGAACTGCATGCGCGGAGGGGGTACCCAACATGCGCCTGGCGCGTGCGCGCGGGGGGCGCATGTTTTCACGTGTCCACGGCCCCGATACAATACGTGGGCGGAGGCCCACCATGCGCTTGGCGCGTGCGCGCGGGTCATGTATTTTCACGTGTCCCCGATCCCCCGCGAGACCCCCCGCGAGGGACCCAACTTAGCCCACTGGACTCTTTACACGTGAAAATGTGTGCGCGGAGCGGGGGACCCAACATGCGCCTGGCGCGTGCGCGCGGGGCACATGTTTTCACGTGTCCACGGCCCCCAGAAGGGGGATCAAACTTGGGCGCGTTGGATATTTCACATAGGAAAATACGTGCGCGGAGGGGGGGGGGGGTCAACACGCCTTTGGCGCGTGCGCGCGGGGCATGTATTTTCACGTGTCCACCGCGGGCGGACCCACCTTTTTCGCGTCGGATTCTTCACGCGTGCACATGCGCCGCCGTGTAGGAGGGAGACGACGGTGGGGGGAATGAATGTGGAGGCAAGGTAGGATGACGAAGAGGAGGAAGGAGGAAGGAGGAGGAGGAGGACAGAGGACGAGGAGGAGGAGGACAAGGATGATGAGGAGGAGATGGAGGGAAGGAGGAGGAGGAGGAGAAGGAGGAGGAAGAGAAGGAGGAGGAGGAGGAGGAGGAGGAGGAGGAGGAGGAGGAGGAGGAGGAGGAGAGGAGGGAGGCTGTGAGGAGGAGGAGAGGAGGAGGAGGAGGAGGAGGAGGAGGAGGAGGAGAGGAGGAGGAGGAGGAGGAGGAGGAGGAGGAGGAGGGAGGAGAGGAAGGAGGAGGAGAGGAGGAGGAGGAGGATAGGCCACGTGCGAGGAGGAGGAGGAGGAGGAGGTGGGGGTCAGGAGCAGGAGTAGGATGAGGAGGATAAGCAATACGTGCAGGCGTGCAGGAGGTAGTGGCTGCAACCAAGCAAAGGGAATGTGTAGCACGCACGCCAGAAAGAAGCTTGACTCGAGTTCCTTGCAGGGTTCGTGGATCCTGTAAGTTTAATATGTGTGTTCTCGGAGCCAGTGCGGTATCCTCACTTCGAACGCTACCTCCGCCAGGAAGTTCGCGGCGCGAGAGCGAGTGCCACGCATTGTACACCGCTCGTCTTGCATGTGGCAATGTGAGCTCCAGGGTCATGCAGCAACAGTGCGGTCATACACCTGCGGGCCTGTAGCGCACTGTTTTGTCATGTGGGCAGACACTTTACGTGCGTCCTCGTCTGAGATCAAGCGGACCCTGGACTCTGTCATACTGAAACACTGAGTGGTTATGGGGGAAGGGGAGAACAGGAGGAGGACGGGGGAAAAGGAGATGGAGAGGAGGCGAGCTGAACTACAGACCGAAAGTCGGTTCTGTGCACATGATTTCCAGTTGGTGTCTGATATGATCAAGAGTTCGAGGGTTGCTGCACTTCTTATTAGAGACGAAGCCATGCGGTACACGTATGACAGTATGGCAAACATTAGGGCTTCCTTCGAAATGGCAGGGCTGCCCTACCGACGGGTCTGGTGGTGCGAGCAGGAGGAGTTATCGGATACGCTGACAGTGAACCACCGCCGTCCCCTGCCCTTGTGGAAGCACGCGGCTCGATCGTTATGAATTCTGATTGTCGCTTGCTCGATTGTTATGAATACTGATTCCCTGTAGTGTTGTCAGGCGACTTGGTGAGCACGGATGTCCAGAGTAACTGTCCGTAGCCATCTTGGCTCAAGAAGTTAGAGAGGCTCGAGCACGCACCCTTTTTTGGCGGATCCAGCGCCCGGCCCGCGCCGCTCGGTCCCCCGCCAGGCTCGCCGCTGCGCTCCGAGTGGCCGCCCCGGCGCGGCCGCGGCCGCGGTCGGCGCAGCCCTGGCGGCGGCCGCGGGGCGCGGGCACGCGGCCCTGCTGGAGACCTTCGCCGGTCTGGCCGCGGGGCGCGCTCCGTGCGCCTGCGGGCTGCGGCCGCCAGCCCCGGCCGTGGGGCGCGGGCTCCGGCCGCGGCCAGGCACGTCGGCGCGGGCAGCGCGGAGCGCCAGAGCGGCGTCAAGCACATCTACTGGTACAAGATTAGCCAGGCGTGGCGTCTTGGCTACAAGATAACGAACGGCCCAGACAAAGGTTGCAGGAAGCAGCCCGTGCTCCGCTCCAAGGACGGGTCGCCGGGTGAGGTGGAGCGGGCGCGGCTCGCCGCTGTCGAGGCATTACAGCGGCTCCAGGAGGAGGACAGCGCGCTCGGGCCGAGCAGCTCGGACGAGCGCCGCGCTGGCCCCGCAAACACGGAGCGCCAGAGCGGCGTCAAGTACATCTCCTGGTGCAGAACTTACCAGGAGTGGCGTGTCAAGCACAAGATGAAGAGCGGCCCAGACAAAGGTTGCATGACGTGTCCTCGATTCCGCCCGAAGGGCGAGTCACCAGAGGAGGTGGAGCGGGCGCGGCGCGCTGCCGTTCTTGGCGCTGCGGCGGCTCGAGAGGGAGAGGACCAGCTCGGGCGGGTCCGCGCTGGCAGCAGCGGCAGCGCGGCGCGCCCGAGCGGCGCCCAGTGCACCTCTTGGTGCAGCACTCGCCAGGCGCGGCGTGCTCAGCACGGTATACAGAACGGCCGCCCGAAGGACGAGTCAAGGCAAAGGTGCCAGGAAGCAGCCCACGTTCCGCCCGAAGGACGAGACACCAGAGGAGGTGGAGCGGGCGCGGCTCGCCGCCGTTCTTGGCGCTGCGGCGGCTCCAGGAGGAGGACCCCGCGCTCGGGCCGCGCAGCAGCTCGGGCGCGCCCTGCGCCGGCCGCGGCCGCGGGGAGGCGCCCGCCGCGCCCGCCGAGGGGGAGGACCAGCTGGCCGCCTTCCGTGGGCGCTGCCCCGTCGGCGACGGCGCCCTCGAGCTCCTGGCGAGGCAGCCGGCCGAGGTGCAGTCCATGGTGATCTCGAGGTGCTGCCCGCCAGAGGCGGGCGCTCGTCCGACTACTCGGCGCTGCCTGGCGAGCGTCGTCCAGGCCATCAGGGGTGCCGCACGGCGGCCGCGCCAGGTCGCGGCGTCCTCGACGGGCTGCTTCTGGGAGTCGCAGGAGCTGTTCGACGGGGTGAGCGGGGTCCTCAGCACCACGGTCGGCTACACCGGCGGTGACACGCTGAGGAAGCCCACGCACGAGAGCGTGCAATTCGGGGACGGGCACTCCGAAGCAAACCGCACAGAGTTTGACCCTGAGCTGATCACCTACGACGCGCCCCTCACTCACTTAGACCGCATTCTCGAGCGCACGCCAGCGCCAGTGGGCTTGGCGTTCGCTAGAGGGGCACAGCCCCACACTGCCGCTCTGCAGGCTGGGACCACGACGCAGCACCACTCGGCAGTCTGGTACCACGACGAGGAGCAGAAGAAGGCCCTGCAGGCACGCGCCAGACGAGGCGCCCCGGAGCTCCACGCCGCGCGCATGGAGACCTGGCACGACGCGGAGAGACACCACCAGAAGTTCTACCAGACAGGCTGCAGCGTGCAGTGACGCGCAGACCCCATCCCTTCTCGTCCCTCTTCCTCCTTCCCCGCTCTCGCGAGGCCTGGACTTGCAGGGCACCTTTCCTGTGCACGGCTTACTGCTCCCACGCGTCATTGTCGCTGCCGACTCGGCGCAGCACACGTCACCCGGCATCGAGATGCAGACAGGCCGCGCTTGCGCCACTCTGCAGCGACGCCGCAACAAAGGAAAGGGCCTTCTCGGGGCCTCCTGGGGCCTTGTTGGGCCTTTTTGGGGCCCTGTCGGGCCGTCCTGGGGCCCCCTTCTGGGGCGCTGCAGGGCCGTCCCGGGGCTCTCTTTTGAGGCATCTTCGGGCCCTCCTCTTCTTTGTCTCCTTGGACTCTCCATTCCCCCCTCTTCTCCACGTCCGCGTCGACCTCCTCCTCCTCCTCCTTCCTCCTCTTCTTCCTCCTTCTCTTCTGTATTTTCCTCCTTCTCCTTCCCCTTCTCCATGTTCTCCTGCTCCTGCTCCTGGCCTGGGGCATCTATGCTATCCTGCTCCTGCTCCTGCTCCTGCTCCTGCTCCTGCTCCTGCTCCTTCTGACGTCGTTCTGGTCCAGTGCCGCTCCCTCCGATCCTGCCCCTCCGCTGCGACACTGGAGGAAGAGTGCCCCTTTCGAGTTTTGCGACTTCGGAGCTCGCCGCGAGTGGACTCATCTAGTGTCCTCTATAGGATCAGTTCCGAGAAGTTTTGTTTCGCCCACATCTCCATGCGGCTCCTTATTGTTTTCGAAGAAGAAAATATTGCATACACATAAACATTTGGCGCGCGGAGTTCTTGGATCCGCGCTTCCCCCCCAGGTTCATTCACAAGCGTGCGTGAGTAGGTTATGGAACATTTTTCTACGATGGCTCTTCTGCGGCAGAGCGGCCCGATGTTCACATCCCTGCAGAGCGGCCCGATGTCCACATCCCTGACCAGGCACTCGTGCCAGAGCCCACCAGCTCCACCACTGGGGGTCGGCCACTGAAGGAAGAGCCTCTCTTGGCAGGCACTCGCCTCTTCTTCCTCCCTCTTTTCCTCCTCCTTCTCCTCCTCCTCCTCCTCCTCCTCTTCTTCCTCCTCCTTCCTCCTCCTCTTCCTCCTGCTTCTCCTCTCTCTTCTCCTCCTCCTCTTCCCCTCTTCCTCCTGCCTCTTCTCCTCCTCGTCCTTCGTTCTCCCCGTAGCGCGAACCGATGCTTGCCTGCCAGGTGAGACGCTCGTGCCCGAGCCCACCAGCGCCATTGCGCCGAGGCCACCACCAGCGTCGCCGACGCAGGCCGCGAGAGCTGGTAGAACCTGCAGGGGTGACGGCCCGTGGATGTTGCGGCCGTGCGGCAGACAAGTTCTCTCCGCTGACCCCAGCGCCACTTGATAGTCGGTGTTTCGGGGAACGAAGAATCACATGAACATAAAACTCGGAGGTCCGCGCTGATTTCGTGGATAGGCGCTGGAACCCCCCTCCCTGGCGCGCGGAGCGCGCCAGGGGCGGCGCCAGAGGCGCCGCCAGGGGAATCCAGCGCGGATCCGAGAAATCCGCGCGGACCTCAGAGTTTTTAAGTTTATGTCATTATTCGTTCCCCTAGTGATGCCATGAGGCTTTTCTCGCACAGCTGGCACGCTGGCAAACTTTGAGCGCAGCTGTAGTGCTGCACGCAGGGGCTCCACGCCCTGCGTGTTGTACAGAGTGCTCTTGGCAGTGCGATCACCTCAAGGCTTGTCGCCTCCGCAGCCGCTCCGCCATACCATGCACACGTGGCCCAGGTAGGCTGGAGAGTGGTCGAGTGGTCCCCCCCTTTTGCCATCCATGTGTCCTTGACGGTTGGCTCGCCGTGTTGCGGCGAGCTGGTGCCGCCTCTGGCAATGAATGCTCAGGCGGCGGCGGGCTACGGCTACGGTAGAGACCCATGCCAAGAAACACCCTGCTTGCCTCCAGGGTGCCCTGGGTTTCTTGGGTTTGATGGTTTTGCTATGGAACGCGTGACGTTCTTCCCACACCAGACATCAATGGACGTCCTGGGGCCTCGGCTGGGTTTCTTGCGGAAGGTCTCTCGTGGACTGGCCTCCACTCTATTGTCGGTTGTTTGAAGGTTTGGCCCTTGGCCCAGGATGCCCCTGACTTTCCATGCCAGTCGGAACCCCCCTAGGGGCCCTCTGGGCCTCAGGAGGGTGCTCCGGAGGCCATTGGGTCTCCCTGGAGAAGTTGGGGCGGGGCCACCTTCGGCCAGGATCCTCTCTGGCCACTCCCGAGGTTGTGTGCTGCAGCTATCGAGAGCTCTCACTACGCCCCCAGGCTGCAGGCCAGGCATGCGTCCTGCTGGGTCAGACTGGTCTCTGCCTGCTCACGGGCTTCATATCACAGCTGGTAGCGGAGGGTTTCGCGCTGCTTGGTGCCCGACCTGCTTCAGCCGCCATGAAGCAAACGGTTCCTGTGGAAAACGGGTCCTGATTTGTGTTCGCCGTTTTCGGCCTCTGGGGGCCCTCCATGGGCCCCGGCATTCTTGTTAACCAGCCGCCCCCTGGCGCTGGAGTCCCCTGGTGGACGCCTCTCTCCCGCCGACCTGGTGATGTCAGTTCCCACCAGCCCGGCCCGCCCCCCCGCGCAATACGCGGTCCTTCGTGCGGCGTCCACGACGTTACCCCTGGCCAGGCTCCCTGGTGCAGTCGCCCCCTGGGGCCTGGTCCATACTCGCCTCGCTGCCCAGGACTGGCGTCGTTCTCAGGGTTTACGAGATGTGTCGCGGAGTGGTGCAGCCTTTCAGCAGACACCGTGCTTCCCCGGCGCCCTGTCCCCGCCTACTTGGCATGTTCCGCGCCGCAGCCGCGGCCCTGGCCCTTGGCGCCCTGCGGCGACATGGTCAGTCTGTACCTGGTGCAGGACCTAATTCCATCTTTGGCATCCTTCTGCCTCAGACTTGCACGTTGCATCAGCTTCCCTGGGCGTTGCAGACCACCCAGCCAGTTCCACCAGCAGCAGCCCCTCAGCCGCCGCTTCTGAGTGCTGGCCCGGCCGTCTTGCGCGTCGCTCAGTTGCTAATTCGGCTGGCCCGTGCCCCGGACCCTCCTCTCGGCGACAGCTTCACGCGTGTACCCGCGACCAAAAAAAATATCACCACCAGCCCATCCAGAAGCGATCGCCGGGCGAGTTGCAATGATCACCAGAGAAGTGTAGAATCATGCGGTGGACCAGCCGCTCAGAAGGATGCATGTTCAGCTGTTATTGGTACTTCCCTCTTGGCCTATGATTTGAGCTCTCTCGGGACCCTCTTGGAGACAGCGAGAAGGAGGAGGAGGAGGAGGAGGAGGAGGAGGAGGAGGAGGAGCAGGAGGACCTTGAGGAAGAGGAGGGACGGGGGGAGGAGGAGAAGGCGGACGGGGAGGACGACGACAAAGGCAATAACGAAGATGATATCGAGGACGAGGAGGTGGAAGAGAAGGAGGAGGACGACGACGCGGTGGATGATGAGGAGACGGAGGAGAAAGACGAGCACGAAGAAGATGATGCGGACGAGGACGAGGAAAACGAAGACGAGGACGATGTGGAGGAGGACAGAGAGGACAAGAACTTCTGGAGCCATCTCGGAGTCTTCTTGCGGTCCGCTTGAGGTTTTTTGAGCGTTCTCTTGGGGCCCCTGTGCTGGTTTCTGAGGTCCTCATGGGGCTCCTCTGAAGTTTCTTAGGGCCCTCTGTGGCCCCTCTTGTGGGCATTTTGGGAGCTCTAGGGGCCTCTTGGGGCTATCTCGTGGGGCGTCGGTCGAAAGAGAGGGGCCCCAGAGTCGCCTCCTCCCTCAGGAATGCTCATAACTTGTGGCCGTCTTGAGGCTCTCGTGGATCATTTTGGGGCCACATTGAGGCCTTAGAAGCCCGTCGGAAGCGACAAGGCGAGAAAACAGTATGTTCGTTAGGTTTTCTTTTGCTGACTTTGGCCTCTTGTGGGCGTCGGTGCCGTTGGGGGCTCTGAGGCCATTTGGAACCAGCCTGTGGCTCTTCCGGAGCCTATTGGAGGCATGATGAATGCCATCTTGAATTGTCTTCGGCTTTCTTGAGCTATCCTGGAGGCCATCGTGAAGCATCGGAGGCCCTCTTGGAGCCATCTGGGACCATCTTGGGCGCTGTGACCCTTCGCGGCAGGACCAGAAACACCTGAGGGAGGGGAGGGGGCGGGTAGCCCTCCCGAAGTGGACGAGGGTTTTGGAAGAGGAGAGAACGAAGTCGTCAGACCACCTGCGCCCAGAGGGCTGCTGGGATTGCTCCTGATGTGCAGCTGGTTCCTGGGGCACGTCCCAGGGATCAGGGCCCGTGTCCTCCAGGACCCGCTTCTTTCGTGCCAGCCCAAACTCTGTTTCGCCGGCAAGTGCGACCCCTTTGGGAACGGGCGCCTGCGTGCGGGTGTCTTGAGCGCGCTTCGTCGCGGACGGCTGTGGTACGGAGGGGCGAGGCCGCTCGCTGGTGCACGCACCATGCTGTGTTTTGGTAGTGCTGGCCCCTGGGTGCGTACGTTTTCGGGGCCCCCGTGCCCCCCGTGGGCCGTGTTGGGGGCCTTTTGTCGGGGGTGGACAGAGCCCCCAACAGTGACACGTCGATTAGTGAATCGTCCGTTTTCGGTTCTCGAGAGGGCGCCGTGGCCGTTATTTTCCAGGCTTGCGCCCGCCAGGTTTGGGCCTCATGTTATTTTTCACTAAACCACGCTTTACTAAAGGGGGGTCTGTCCATCCCCGATTTTGGGCCATCTTGGCGCCACCCGTGGCCGTCTCTCTCAGAGCGTGAATTACCTACCCCGCTTTCGCTTCCAGGCAACACCAAGCCATACCACGCGCCTCCTCGTCAAGCGACCTGACCAGTACAGGCTGCAATTTGGCATCGTTTGGTATCTCTTGGAAGCGAGGGTGGTCAGAAGCGAGGTAGGTTTGTTTTCCCCCTACTCTTGGGGGCCTCCTGGGGCCGCTTCGGTGCCCTCTTGAAGCCGTCCGGGGGCCCTCGCGGGCCGGGGAGGGGCCGCCTGGGAGGCTCCGGCAGGGCGCCACCAAGCCAGGCGTGATCCCGCAGCTTCGGCGCCTCACGAGCCCTGGTCTCGGCACGGGTGCGACGCGTAGTCCCAACCAGCCCTCTGGGCGTCGGTGGTTTAGAGCGCTTCCGCTTGCACCCCTCCTTCTTCCCCTTCGGGAGGGGTTTACCCTTCCCCCTACCCCCTCCCCATGGACCTGGACGGGGGGGTTCGCGAGTCGTCGGAGCGTCCAAGACGGCCTCGGCGAGGAAGCGAACATCATTGGTTTTACTAGTGGTGATGGTGATTATTATGATGATGCTGATGGTGGTCATGATGCTGATGATGATGATGCTGATGCTGAGGATGATGATGATGATGATGATGATGATGATGATGATGATGATGATGATGATGATGATGATGATGATGATGATGATTATGATGTTGATGCTGATGATGATAATGATGATGATGATGATGATGATGATGATGATGAGGATGATGATGATGATGATGATGATGATGATGATGATGATGCTGATGATGATGATGATGATGAGGAGGATGATGATGATGATGATGAGGCTGATGGTGATGATACTGATGATGGTGGTGATGGTGATTATTCTGATGATGATGATGCTGATGGTGGTAATGATGCTGGTGACGATGGTAGTGAGGATTGTGATGCTGAGGGTGATGACGATGCTGTTCCTCATGGTGATAATGGTGCTGATGGAAGGAAGATGCAGACGATGATGCTGTCTCTGATGGTACTGCTGCTGCTGATTATGATGATGTTGATGATGATTGTGATGCTGTTGCTGATGATGCTGATGATGGTGGTGATGCTGACTATTATGCTGTTGCTGCTGATGGTGATACCGCTGATGATGACGAGGAGCATACTGCTGCTGTTGATGATGATTTCGCCGACGATGATGATGCTGCTGATGATGCTGCTGCCAATGATGATGCTGATGATGATGGTGATGATGATGATGGTGATGGTGATGATGGTGATCATGATGATGATGATGATGATGATGATGATGATGATGATGATGATGATGATGCGGATGATGACGATGATAGTGACGATGTTGATGATGATGCTCATGGTGCTTATGACGATGCTGGTGATGAGGATGATTCTGATGATGGTAGTGGTGGTGCTGATGATGATGATGACGATCATGACGCTGAGTAATAATAATGGTACTATGATGCCGATTGTTGTGATATCGATGGTGCGGACGATGATGACGATACTGACGAGGATATTGATGATGATGATGATGCTGTTGCTGATGATTATGATGATGGTGTTGATGCTGCTGCTGCTGCGGATGATGATGGTGATGGTGCTAATGCTAATTCTGATGATGTTGATTGTGAGTCTGATGGTGGTGCTGATGATGGCGAGGAGTTTGATGATGTTGATGACGTTGACGACGATGATGCTGATGATGATAATGATGGTGATGATGATGCTGATGCTGATGAGGATGAGGATGATGAGGATGAGGATGATGATGTGGATACTTATGATGATGATAATGATGGTGATGGTGATTATTCGGATGATGATGGGGATGAGGATGATGGCG